GGCTTTTGTATATACTGTATATAGAAGATTCTATCCTGGATGCAACATAAATGCATCTCTTATACAGCACTTATAATTGGATAATAATAAATAAGGACAGAATAATCAAAATAACGTAAATGTTGTAACTAAACCTCAAGAGCAAAGGCTAACAGCTTTATGTCATGATGAGGCTAATGAGAAATTTGACTTGAAGGCACCTAAAAATCTCAGCTGGCAGTGTTTGCATTGACTTCCTTTCTTCTATTCGGAATTTGGTTCAGCTACGTTTCTCCAGACAATAGCACACACTAAACAGGAAGTGCAGCCTAGGCTGACTCAGTAATATTCAGACTTCTTGGAAACCATAATGGTTATTTAAGATAAAAATAACAGTATGAGTGCTGATTCACAAAATAAAGGGTTGTTTCCTACCTGGTTCAATTAATCGAATTAATCCCTCATGATGAGCTACTCTATCTTTCCAATTTTTAGTTTTGCTTGCTGCTGCTTCCAATTTCTTTTTTACCTCCTGAAACAGAATTAACACCAACATTATACAGAAACATTTTTTTTCAACAGAGATTCTCAAAACAGCACAAAAAGAATACCTTTTCCCAAGATTACAAAAAGCTGGACTTTTAAATTTTTACCTGGATGTGAGCAGGGATCCGATAAGGTCAGCACATGAAGGACTATACAATTGCAAACATTTGTAAAGCATGTATTCACAGTGCCCAAAGCCAATCTTAGCTGCTGTTAAGTTACCCATCAATTACTAGGACATAATTTTATTGTATATCCCTATAGGCATGCTTTCATAGCTACGATAAATTTACCAAATTTTATCAACTTCCTAAATCTATTCCTGATATGGCTTTGAATTACAATTATCTTTGATCCATCTCTGCTCATTTTATTATTGTACCAAACTGGTACAATGTTTTATACTAGTAATTCTCTATAGATAATTTTCAGTTAATATCTATTATTATGTCTGCGTATACAGTACAAACATAAAGGCCCAATAAGAAATGATTCAACTCTGTGAAGTGGTCAGAGACTCTGCAGTCTGGTATCTCAAAGAAGGTATAATCAAATGACTCAGATAGCCCTGTTACCAACACTTGAACACATTTAGGTGACTGATGACAAGCTGTTGTGCACACATGCTTATGGAGATGACTTGGGAAAGCTTTACAGCACCCACACTGAGCCCTCTGAGGAATGCAATTGCCTTCACCCTTCAAGGAAGAATGCCTCAGGCATATTAATGCATATTGCGAAGTGTCCCTTCGTATAATCCTAGGAAGGTTACACTAGCTCACCTCATATTGTTCAAAGGCTTGCTTCCTCTCTAATTCCAATTCTTCCAACTGCTGCATGGCGACCTGTAGAGCATGTTCCTTCATTTTCCTCTGGTTTTCCAACTCTTGCTTTTCTGCCTCAGTCACCTGAATGGCCTGTTGCTGCTCCAAGTGCCACTTTTCCAACTCTGCTCTCTTGGTTGTCTCTTCTTCTAGCAGTCTAGAAAAAAAATTAAGTAACCAAGGAGGCATATTAATTCAGGACTGACACAACATGTAGGCCTTTCCTACATGAGCTGAATAGTTAAGAAAACATAACCTAAAACAGTTCCATGGAAATTGCTCGTTTTTGTGTGTCAAGTCCATCAAGATACCACATTCAGAAATGAAAGCATCCCACACATATGGTAAGTGGTTTCCTTTTTCATTACCCCATTTAGCAGGTAGTCCTTGACTTATGACCATAGATGGGACCAGAATTTTGGTTGCTAAACAAGTCATTATGCAACTGGACCCAACTTTATGAGATTTGCCATGGTCATTAAGCAAATCATGTTAACTAAATCATATGGCAGTTAACTGAATTCAGATTTCCCAATTGACTTTGCTTGTCAGAAGTCATCTGGGAAGCTCATAAATCGCAATTGTGACCATATGATTCTGTGCCTGTCATAAATGCAAGCCATATGCCAAGCATCTGAATTATGATCATGTGAACATGGAGGAGGTAAGATGGCCATAACTTCGAGGATGGGTGGTATGTCCTTTTCCAAGGCTGTTGTAACTTTGAACCATGGTTAAATGAAGAGTCATAAGTCAAGGACTACCCGTATGTCAGTTAAATGTGCTTCATACATTTGCTTCAACTTACTTTTTGGTCTACAAACAACTCCACATGACATATTTTGTTTACATCTCTGTGGTACTTAATATGCTGAGAAGCAGAAAGAAGGAAACAATCCTTTAGAATGAGTCAAGGACAGAGAATTCTTTTTAAATGTAAGAATATTTAGGGGTGAAGGTTCGTTCTCCGAGGTTGTGGGTTGGTTTCCAAATGTTTCCGAACAAAATGTTCAGAAACCAACCCACAAGTTCGGAAAACAAAACTTCACCCTCATCCTATACCCAAACTACAGATATTCCCACTATTGCAATGATATTTAGATTACTTGGACAGTCTACAGTTTCTATAGTCTCTGCCATCCTTCTTCTGGAACATAAATGACTGCCAGCCTTAGCATCCAATTTTATCAAATTACACACTGACCTGGCCTGAAGTCTCCTGACAGTTTCCTCATCTTGACGGGCTTGTTTCTCATCCTCCAAAGCTTCCTGTAGCTGATTATACATTTCCTCAAGTTCTTTGACTCTCACTAAGTACTGCTCAAGCTCAGATGATTTCTGAGCAACCTGTTCTTCCATTTTCTGTCTTACCTAGAAAACAAGAAATGAATGAATGCTTCAGGACAAGCCGTGCTGCCTATTTCCATGGAAGAGAAGAAGAAAGTTTGCAGCCTTTTTGTCCAAACATGTGCATGCTGTTAATATATCATTAAAGAAACCACATCAGAGTTATCCCATTCTTTTGCTGACATGTACCATTTTTTCTCTCTCCAGTTCAAGACTGAATCGATCTTGTAATTCCATATGAGTCTGCAGACGTTTTGTCTCTTCTTCTGAGGCTCGAGCGGCTGCCTCTTCTAGTTGCTGGGCCAAAGAAAGAAAACAATTATCATCTGTTTCCAGTTAATGTACACATGAAAGTACAGATCAGCTATTCAATATGTACCTATAAATATACTTCTTATATTTTTTCATAAAAGCAAACATTTTATCAAAGGGAAATATGTATGTATGTATGTATGTATGTATGTATGTATGTATGTATGTATGTATGTATGTATGTATGTATGTATGTATGAAAAATTAAAAAGAAAGGAATGATGTGCATCAAGAAGGGGGTAAATTAAGGAGGGAAATATCTCCAAGTCTCCCCTAAGGCTTCATGTAAAACTTTCTGAAAAGATCAAGCATTATCAGCTCTCAAAAAGTGCATAAACAATAAAAAGTTGGGGAAAGATTAAACTCTACATAGGTTTCTGTAGAGCTAGAGATAAGATAAACATTTCCAAAAATAGCACAGTCAATGCTGAAAACTCATGCAAAACCTGTTCCTTCTAGTTCAAATTTACTGTCAAAATAAGTAAGCTACAGTATTTTGTTGCACAAGTCTGAGAAATTTGGCAACTAAATTTCTCTAGTAAAGTAATCCCCACGTATTTTGAGACACGCCCAATTAGAAGTTTCTGAATGGTTTAGTTAAATGAAAACAAGGAAGTAGTATAATGGAGCGCTTCTGCAACATTAAATGCTTACAGTAGCACCACTGTTGGTTCCTAATTTTCTCAAATTGCTGTTAGGAAGGCATATTTCAATGACTCAGGTAATTTGGCTTGGCTGAACTGACATTTTTTTCTATCAACAATTAAACTTTAGGTTTGGATTAAGATAAACTTGAACTCATTCTTGTTTTTGTTAGGTTGCTATGCTGCTTAACAAAATATAGCAAGCCACCATCAGTGTCAAATACCCAAATTCAGCATCTATGACAATGTTTTTCTAAAACTTCAGAATGACACAATACTCCTGCCTCATTTCATAAGTACTCTCTGTGTTCTTGGATTCATTACTTGACTAATGCTGGAACTTTTCCTTGACAGTCTGGTTGAAATATATAAATAATAGCTTTTACGTGCTATATTCTGTTCTTGTATATTTATTCTTTGCTGGAATGCTCATTTCATTTTACATTGAAAGTGCTCAGATGTAAAAATATATCTCATTCTACAATCACCATTAAAGATATTTTAGATGTGCATATGTCAAATTTTAGCTGTGAAATAGCCTAACAATTCTGCAATGATCAAAGCTGCCAATGAAGATCTGGAATCTTAGTTATTATTTACAGACAGTTATGCTTTCATAGGCATAAAATAATCATGCATATGAAAGCATTAGGAGAAAAAAAAGCAGACACTCTTATCATTTCCTTAGTCTGCAAAATTATTTCAAGCTTAACTGAGTGTCTGGCGTCACCCAAGAAATCTCTCCTTGACTGCAAAACAACTAAGATAAGCAATGTGCAAATTACTGGGAAAAATACCTCTGTTATCATTCCAAACTAGAACTTTTGTGGTTTCAGTACATAGCATTTTTCTTCCAACAACTCTTTCTTTAAATCCAATAAAACATCTATATTCACCCCCAATCTTTGTGGGGACAAATAATTTCTCCTGCCCTCTCAGTTTTCCATAAAATAACATATCCAGGAACATTTAAGAAGAATGATGCAATTACCAATTCCCTGTGGCAATGCTGTAATCTTAAGAAGGAACGTCCTCCTTTCTGAATGCCCTGAAGACTTGATTTTAGACAATTGTGTTCAGGACACTTTCCTAGGAAAGTAGACTATTTTATTTCCATATGTTAATACATACATTGCTATAGTCATGAACCACAGTGTACTGGTTAAGCTACTGGACAAATAATGGGTAGACTGGTTCTAGTGTTTTAACTATAGAAGCCAGTTATGAGGCCCTGGGCCAGTCAATCCCTCTCAGTCCAAATCAATGTCAGATTCTGCAGTGAACAGCCTGAAACGTAGCCTCCTCAGGGCATCATACATTGACAGTTCTGTTGCGTGAACTAAGTGAGCCTGAAACAAAATCAGAAGATCCTACTATTTAGCAGGACAAATTCTAAGAACATCATTAATCATTAATAAAAAGAACTAAGAAGAACAATGACTTCTACAGTCCCCTCAAATCTATGGCCTCAGAAATACAGTTTACAACTAAAGTACTAATCCTACATTCTAGAATGCTACAAAATCTCAGATTTACCTTTCGGACGGTTTCCAGTTCCTTCTGTTTATTTTCATTTGCTATTTGGAGCTCTTTCATTTGTCTCTCCAGTTCTGCTTGTTCCGCTTGCAGTTTTTGGCGTAATTCTTTCCGTTTCTGGCGTGCCTCTTTATGAGGTGAAGGGCTTTTTAATTTCAGCAGATTTACCGTTGTCTGAATGGCTAAATAATTAGAATAGCCACAATAATATTTCTAGCTTAAGCCCATAAATACCTTTATTACTTTTTCAATCTTACAATGCTGTTTGGTTTCTAACATTCATCAATAATTTTAAAAATAAAGCCACATTTGTTTGCCAAAAAAAAACCCATAGTGTATCAATATCAAATGTAATAGTGATATATAATTATAGTACCCTGTTTCCCCCAAAATAAGACAGGATCTTATTTTATTTTGACCCACAAAATATGGCTTGGGCCTTATTATCAGGGGAGGGCTTATTGTTTTGGGGCTGCCAGGCGGCTGCTCCCTTGCAAGCGGGTTCCCGAAGAGCCAGGCATAGCCTCAGGGGTGAAGCAACCATGAGGTGACCACACTCACGAGCAATCAGAGTGCGCTCTATGAGCTGCCATTGCTCGAAGAATTGGAAGCCAAGTTCTGGAGTTTGGAAACTAGAGAAGAAGTTATGCTCGAAGCACGGTGGTGAAAGCGGCAGCGGTACCCTGGCCCCGCAGGGAGAGCTGGGCCAGGGCATGGTGAGGCTGGGAGGCATGCGAGCTGGGGGCAGAACAGGCGCTCGCGGAACCACCCTCTCCAGCCGGGCAGAGCTCCACGCACTGACCTAGGGGTATCCCGAATGAGCCAAGCCGCGGGAGCTTGGGGGCGGGTAGAGCGCCATGTGGCTTGGCGCCTTGGGGATACCGCTAGGTCGGTGAGCGGTGCTCTGCCTGGCTGGAGGGGGGATTGTCCAGGGGCTTATTTTCAGGGGGGGCTTTATATTTTTGCCCACGCAAAAAATGTGGCAAGGCCTTAGTTTCAGGACAGGTTGTATTTTCGGGGAAACATGGTATGTGAAATATCAGAATGAAAACAGTTAATATCAAATACAATTTGTACTTTGTAATAATGCTAGTTCTCCATACAATGAAATACATTTTTCATCCTAATCACTGCATGGGGGGTTAATCTGTGATAAAACCAGTCAGATGTACAATCAGACATATAATACAGAACCAAAATATTTGGCAAGAAGAGAGAAACAGAAATAGTAATTAGATAATTATTTAACTCAGAATAACAGAGTTGGAAGGGAGGTCTTCTAGTCCAACACCCTGCTCAGGCAGGAAAGCCTATGCCATTTCAGACAAATGGTTGTCCTATCTCTTCACTGGCCTGAAGCTTAGTAGGACATCTACTGTCTTATTATTAGTCAGATTTATAAGTGACTTCACAACAGGCACACAAACAGGAGGTTCCATTAAGCAGTGAATAGAAAAACAGAATTTACAAACTTCCCAGATGGCTTCTATCAACCAAAATGGTAAAAGTTTACCTTGAAGCCACTCCTGTTTCTTCTTCTTATCAGAGGCACTAATCTCAAAACATTTCTCTGAATTATTTATAAGAAAGAGACATTTTTTGCCATCTTTGTCGGGCAAGGCCTAATAAGGGAAAATTAGATTTAGTTTTCTATGAAGCATAACAAATATGACATTGAATTGACATTTACAATATTGTTTGTTAGTTCAGAGCCTCTGAACATATGAAATATCCTCAAAATAATATCCCCATGCACAAAAGTTAAATATGAATAAATGTTATATCATTTTTTTTCTAAGACAAGCTAACAAGGCATATTTGGGGCAATTCAAATTTTTCTCCCAGTTTCATGGAACAAAATGTGCCATAGATAATTGTATTGACAGAAAATATTTGAGTGATATGTATTTTTAGAACATCCATACTATAAAGATAAAAATGGTGTTGATCAATGCTGTTCACAAGGAAAGTACTTTATTCTGAATAATATTTACAAGATATGTCCCACTTCTAATGTAGCCTTTGAAGGAACAGGCATAAATTAAAATAAAGTGTGCAATTTTTTTTAGGCATGTCAGAGAGGAAAAAAACCAGCACTATAGTCTATATATACGACTCTTTTTCACTGGTTAACAAAAATTCCATAAATTAAGAATCCTGAATGGGCATTTCAAAAAATAAAGATTCTTCCCTCTTTTCATGAATACTATTGTTAGTACTCCATTGTATTCTCCATGAAAATAAAAATTCCAGAATTTATCCAACAGGTTGAATCAAATTTATGTAAGTTATGTTGTTTTCATGTTCATCATCTAGAAAAGTTTTTTTTAAAAAACGTTTATTTTTACCTCTGCAGTACAGTTGCCATCCAGTGCAATGTCTCCTCTTTTGTCTTTTAAATCTTCACTAACATAGTAGGATATAACATTTGGTTTTAAAACAAACCAACGTTCTGTCCAGTTTTTCCTTTTGTGACCCTTCTTCCACATATAACCCTATAAAAACAAAGAAGTAATTACTTTATTACATAATTTTAACTTGGAATGTTTAAATTCTTCAAGAGATATTAATCAGACTTTTCAATCCAATCACTGTAAGCATTTAAATATAATTTTTAATAAGCACAGTTTATGAAAAACCATCGAAGTAACTCAACTTTTTATTTTCAGTGAGAAAAAAATGTAAATCCTTAGAGGAAAAAAACACCCACCCTGACATTTATTGGATGGAGAGGAAGTTGAATAGAGAAGAAGTCCTCTCTACCAGTTAAGCACAGTGAGCATCAGCTTCTACTCCCCAACCTCCCCCAGTCCATGGACCGACACCTCTCCGCAGTATGCCAGAAACCAGGCTGTGCAAACAAGCGAAGCCTCATCCACGGGATGCAGGCAGCTTGAGAAATCACACCCCATCCATCCACTGAAAAACCTCTCTCCATGGAACCAGTCCCCAGTGCCCAAAAGGTTAGGGGCCACTGGATTACCTGATGTAAACAAAATTGAAAGGCGCAAATTATCATCTATCATTCAGTATCAAATAACCCTGTTGAAAATTTTAAAAGACACAAGTACATACCTGTTAGAAATCCACTTTGTAAACTATTTAAATAGTGTGAGACAGAAAGAAATTCACATTTAAAGATAGATCATTCTATTATTTAACATGAAATAATTTACTAGACACCAAAGACTCTGAATATGCCATGAATCATCCCTTGAATCTTTGCCTACCAATTTTATTAGCATAAATACCCACCAGGTTATTTTTCTTTCTTAAAACATTGCAATATGAAAGAGAACTCACATTAGAATCACAGATTTGGAAATGACTACTTAAGCATCAAATCTAATAGCCTAACTATAAAGGAATCCAAATTCAAGTATTCCTGAAAAATGGCCATGCAGCCTCCACCTGAACTGATTCGATAAAAGGGAGCCCATCATCTTCCTGGATAACTAGTTCTGTTGTGTATTAAGGCTTCACTCCGGTCCGCTATTCAAGCGGGAGGAGACATTCGTTCTGATTGGCTGTCCATCTGACAGCTGACTATAAAAGAAAGAGAATCAGCTGTTGCTGTTAGCTGAGCTGTCACTGTGAGCCAAGTTGTTAGAACTAATAAAAATTTAGCTAAACATTATGTCTCGCCTCCGTTCTTCCATCCTCTGTTCCCAGAACACAATAAGTGTAACAATAACTTCTTATTGTTAAGAGGCTTTTTCCTTCCCTAATATTCAAACAGAATCCGCCTTCCAGTAACTTACATTCATTTTTTCATGTCCTATATTCTGGAACAGATGTCTTCTATTTGAAATTCTTTCACATATCCAAAGAAAGGCAGCTAAACTATCCCAATCACTATTTATAGGTTACAGTTTTTAGTGCCTTGATCATCTTCATTGCCCTTATCTAAATATGTGCCAGTTTTTTTTTTCCAAATCCTCCTTAAAGTGTGGTGATCAGAACTGGACATTGTACTCAAGATGAGATATAAATAGAATAGGGTGGAAAGGTTACTTCCTGAGTTTCAAAATTACGCTTCTATTGGCGCAGCCT